CCTTCAGCAAAAACATTCCAGGTATTGGTGTTTTGCTGGTGACTGAAATATAATGGCTAGACAGATTGGAGTCCCTTAGGCAGTATACGGGCGCTACTTTAGTGTGTTGTTTAAACATAGAAAGCTGTGCTAGAAAAGCAAATCTCTTGTTTTACTTCCTACCTAACATCACAAGAATTGGATACTGGATACAGTAACAGCATTGAGGTTCCTTGGTGAACTTTCTGGGCTTTTTGTTTGGTATCGAGGGAAAAAGCTCATCATGTGGGACAATCTTAGAGCAGTCAAGTTTAGTTAGATAACCTAAAAGATAATCATCATGGGAAATCTGTCTTTATCTCAAAAGATAAACGAAAATATAAAACAGAAGAGCAAATTAAAAAGTATCTAGAAAATAATAAAATTACATCAATAAAAACGGGTGGATAAAGAAGAGAAATTCATTAAAAAACCTTGTGCTAGACAAAGCTTTCTAAATAGAAATGCTCCTTTACATCAAAAGGAATCCGTTTAAGTGGTAATCTGATACCTCTTGGGTTAACTTGTTCTAACATACTGTACACTTGAGAGAGGAGCTCAGAACCAACAGAGCTGGCTGTATAGACTTTACATCCTATTGTTTGCATTCTCCCTGGAAGAATAAGACGGGGTAGGAGAAATTGTGTTTTACTGTGCTTCGAGGAATGTTTCCTCTTTAAAGCATTTTAAACAATCTGATACATGGTTGTGAGTCTTCAAATGATGGAAAAAGTGTTGCACCTTTTGAGTGCATTGAGATACAGGTTCATTGAAAATTTGCATGTGTAAATATTTTCTTTTGAACTCGGGGTGTGTAGCATGCTATTCATCAAAGTAAGCACCAAAGCACTTATGGGGATTAAGGACGACAGCCAGAGTGCAGGGCTTTGGGTTTAAAGACAGCTCTGATGTGTGGATGTATATACCACATTCTTTCATTTTATTTGTTTGTCTGACTATGCTGCCTTAATTTATGTCATCCAGAAAGGAGAAATGTGATGTGAAGCAAGATTAATAGATTGCACCGACGGATTTTCTTTACACTGTTTGTGTAAATGTTCACAAAGTGTTGTCTCTATAGTGGAGGACTATTTTTCCATAAGAATTGATACTTTCTGAACCTTATCATTTGACCTTTTGATTTGGCATGAAGTCTGTGCTCTTCTAATTTCAAATGTGAAAAACTGCAGCATATGCTCTACCAAAAAACTGGATGTCTGCATTCTGAACAAACTGCTGTCTAAACATAAATGAGAGAGAAAACCCTGGAGACAAGAGTGAAATAAGATGATGCACATTGGAAAGGGGGATGGGGAAGAGTTACCTTGTAGAAAGAGCCTGGGGAAGGGGGGGCTATGTTGACCAATCTTAGGTAAACACAAAGATCAGGACATGTAATATGCACTCTCCTATATCAAATGTTATTATCCCATTAAATAGAAACCATCACCTTTAATTGGTGTTTTGCAGACATAAAGAGGCAATTTGCTCTGTTACCTGAAAGAAAGGCTGAACAGGCATCATCCTACATTTTTGTCATAGCTGAGTCCTGTTTAAAAAATATGGCACAAATTTTAAGATTTTGACCACTTTATGTGGTTGGGATTTGTTTTTAACTTACTAATGCTTGAATTTATTTCTTTAGAGCATTACGTTTTTAGCTTGCCATTCAAAATGTCTCTTCCCAGGCAAATGCCAGCTGAATGGCAGCCCACTTCCCTCCAACTCCCAGCAAAATCCCCTTCAACTTCCAGCCACTCGAGTGACCCCCTCTTGCATATTTTCTTTTACTCTGACTCCACCCTTTCACTGAATTACAGGCCCTGACCAGGATATGATGCTTCTCTTTAGATCTTAATGTACAAATCAGGACAGAAAGAATATTTTACTGCAAAGATTGATTTTTATAAAGGCATTGTAGGGGATCAGCCAAGGACCCATCAAGGAAAGAGGGGAAATTTTGAATGGCTACTACTGTATCTGTGAAGATATGGAAGGAGAATGATATGTGGTTTCCTCCAGTGGGAGGCAACTACTGTATCTAAATCTGCTTATGCAGAAAATGCTGCATGTGGATTAAAAATAAGTACATTTCTGTTATGTTTCTCCCTTCTTGTTTATGCAAAAAATATAACTTTTTATGTTATTTTTTGTTTGTTTTCTTTACCATCTGCTTTCTTCCTGTCATTTTCCCATAACTGCCAAAATAATGAAGTGCATGGCTAATAGCCACCCATAGCCGAGGATCTCTGCCGTTCTGACAGATTTACTATATACTTTTGAATTTTTTTTGTGTTTAGAATTTTTGCTTAAAACATTCACTTTTATAACATAGCCCTCCCTAAACTTTTTCCAGGCTTTATCACTGACCTCTATGATGTGTTTTGGTTTAATTATTTGTATGTCCATTGAAATCAAGGGATTTAATATTTATGCACACTGCACTTTTCAGATTGTTCTTAATTTAACACTGTATGCTTTTCTCTCCACTTGTTAAATGCATTGAGGCCACTAGTTGTTAAATTACAAAATGTGGAAAAAGTCAAAGCAGTACACTCTAGTCTTGAACCTCTTTATAAAAGCGCTAATATGACTGATAGATAAGGGCATTAAAAATATATATATAGATGTTCTACCTCTTGCAATGTCTCTGTTAACAATAAAACTTAATGCAATGAGATTCTGTTATACAACACAAGCAGGATTTTGTATTATTAAACTGCTGGAGCCATTTACATTACTGTTATGCCTTCTTGTGGCCATGCTTTAGAAAATGTAATTTCTTCCTGTTTTAAGCTTTGATTCACATGCAAATCACCAGTCACTCTCTTTAATTTTTATTTAGTTTCTATAAGATTTCATATGTCTATTCAAACCTCTGCCATTTTGTCTCAAAGCCCCCATCAGAAACCACTGATCTTTGTATGAAAGCTCTCGCTTTTATTTCTCTCTCTGACAGTACACTGAAATATGCTGACATATGTGCTGGCTGGTGTGACAACAAAAATGTTTTAATCCTCACCCATCATCTCTCTGTAGCTGCTTCTAGAAACCAATAGATTTTGTTCAAATGTCCCTCTAATATAGCAGCCACTGCTGGCACTTTTTCTATTATTACTATGACTTTACTTAAAGAGGGATGACATTTGTGACTTCCTATTTTGTGCAGTTTAGATTTACTGATCAATACTGTCAGAGATCCTCTATTGATTGAGATGCAAAAGCCTGAGAAGATAGACCACTGCAGTTTTTATTGCCACACCCATGAGAATCTTTCCAGTAATTACTTCCCCTCCTTCTAAACATGAAAGCACAGTTGCAGAGCTTCACTGCATTGATTGACAGGTTGCACATGCTTCCAGTCTTTTCTCTTTTGAACTCTTATTTTTCATGTGATGTTAACTTGCTCAGTTACCCTCTGTGCTGTAAATAGAGCCAAATATTTTATTCATCTATTCTTCTCACTACTATTTTGACGCATCAAATGTTAACATCATATAAAGATGACCCGAGTAAATTGAATACAATTCAGAAATTGTTCTGAAATGTCAATTGTAAATAAAAGATTAGATCAGAGAAACCCTGGTCCATTTGAAATGCTATCAAGCATCTATGGAGGAAATTTGGACCAAATTAGAGATGAAGAACTGCATTATTTCATCCACAGTGTTGCTGGGGTTTTTTGTTGTTGTTTTTTTTTAGGTATCAGACAGAGAGAAAAGGATGATTCTTCTACCACAACCATGTTTCACTGGCGCCGCAATGGTCTTTTCGTAAAATACTTGTAGTTATACTTTGGACATACTGTAACTGAGGTGCAAATTCAGAAATGTCCCCCTTAGTGTCAGTATTTTACAATATATTTTCCTAAAAGTCTTTTGGATCATGAACATTATTTTTTGTTAGTACTAAAGGAGCTTTTGTGTCCCCTTTTTATCTGCAGAGGCTTTGGCTTGGAAACCCTCTTTGGAAGTTTGCTTTGTCTTCTCTTACTGTTGAATCATAAATACTAATTTACTTTCAGATCTGTTAATGAAGTTCTTTAAATTGTGTCATAATGTGTCAAGTTTTCTATGCCTACTTCATGTCGTTAGGCATGTACTATTTAAGTCATTTCAATATTCTGACAGTCATCAGGTGTGGCTGATGCTAAAGAACTTTGCCTAAAAGGATGTGTACTGTCAGATATTTTACTAAAACCCGGATTAGCATATATAAAATGATAATTTGAATTATTCCACCTGTATAGAAGAACATGTTAGTAATGGATAAAACAAGAAATGTGTAAAAGGGAAGTTTTCACAACACTATCCTACATTATTTGTGCTGCAGTTGATTGAAGACAGTTTGTTTCTTTTTGGTCTTCATCTTTCCATATATTTATTTTTTATTCTAAGTGTTGTTATTTAACGTGCTACCCTTTACCCATGCTACTCTTCCTCCTTGGTCTTTTGTCTAGTACTCACTCTCACTATCTCTCCTCTTTACTGGCTCTCTCTTGTTTCTTGGATTTCCTCTGCCCTCACTTTCACCATTGCTTTGAATTTCGTCTGCAGGGGATTTCCTCAGCAGTGTCTTACTCTTTTTAAATGTCTGCAGTGACTCAGCACATCAGACATGTCAGCTGATTTAAATATTGCTCTGTTTTAGCATTAGTTTGTTGGCAATAATTAAAAAGAACTCCCGTTGTTAAGAAGAAGTTGTGCACATTTACAAGCTTAGTGTTACTTTCTCTAGCATTAATAGCTGCAGGCTTTACAAAACTGGGCCAGTGAGGATGTTGGTATGAAAGCAACCACTGCTCATCTGCCTAATGGTAGTTTGTGTTTCTGTACGCTCTTATGAATCTTTTAAAACTCTGTTAAAGGAACATTGCATGCAACGCATGTAATACTGCATTAGTTAAAACATTTTTGTACCTGTACCAACTTCTTTTAATACAATGAATCTTTTCCTTTCTTCTCTCTTAATCTTCATTACAGAGCATGATAAGCATCGCCTATGCAAAAGCACGGAATACATGAATCTTCACTTCAAAGTCAAATGGTTCCATAATGAGTATGTCCGTGATGTGCCAGCCTTCAAGGATGTTCCACCAGAATACTCTCTGTAAGTTTTCATTTCATAAATATATGAAAAAATACCCTGTCATTTTTGAACAAAAATCCAAAAGGTTATTGCTATGTAGTTCCTAATTTATATTACAGTTTGGATTAAAAACAAGGTTCTAATCATAATTCCCCTTGCATAAATCTTAGTTTGCTAAAAGCCTTCTTAAATGAAAGAAAAGTTGTTTTAAAGGGCAAGAGAGTGTATGTTAAAGTATTCTCACTGCCATTGGAATGCAAATACTATATTCAGACCTATAACGTGTATTCAGATTGCAGTCCTCACTTTGTACTGGATCCATTATGTAGCTTTGCTTTTATTTACCAAAATAAGGAAGATTTATCCTCAAAAAGACATTATTTAAGACATATTTAACTTAGTGCTTCCTGAAGTCATTGCTGTTTAGTTCTGAAATATATTATAATATGTTTAAAACACATGAAATAATATTTTTATACTTTAAATATGTCATTTTGACTTTTTATCAATTTTACGTCTTTAGTCTTTTCCCATTTGAATTATATATATATTTTTGTTTATGTTATTTAAAATTGCAATGTCCTGATTAGTGTCCTGTCCCAAATTTTAAGTCATTTTGCATTTTAACCATTGCGACTTACAGAAATAGCTGTTTCAAAGACTTGTCCTTTGCTTAGATGTCACAGTATTTAATGAGATTCAACGGTTCTTTACTCGGCTTTCCTAAACTACCAATCGATTGGAGCCAGTGAGCAGAACAGGTCACTGTTCTGCTCACTGGCTCAAAATAGTGTATCGGTCTTTCAAGTCATCTCCAAAAAGATTATGTGCTATTTTCAAAACATGGCTAGAGTTGCAGCTACAGTAGTAGCCATTTAACATTTTCACATCTCCTTGATGGGCTCTTGGTTGGTCCCCTACAATTCCTTTTTAAACATCCACATTTGTACTAAAATATTCCATCTGTCATGATTTTTGAACATTAACATCTAAAGAGAAGCATTATCTCATGGTCAGACTCTGTAATTCTGTGAAAGGGTGGAGTCATAGTAAAAAAACATGCAATAAGGGGGTCACTCCAGTGGCTGGAAGTTGGATGGGGTTTTGCTGGGATTTGGAGGGAAGTGGGCTGCCATTAGTTGGCATTTGACTGGAAAAGGTCATTTTCAATGGCTGCTACTGTAACATAAACTGAGTAACAAACACACCAGCAAGAGCTGGGAAATTAAGATATTTAGAGTTTTAGATAATGATGAGGTAGAGAAGAGCTTAGCTGAAAATATAAACTGTAAATATTAATTGCAGTTGTATAACAAAAATCTTACCACTTACAACATAATATCTATTTTGTAAAGACAAGAGAAACATTGTTCGGAAGAACATTTTGACTTTTCATATATAAATTTTAACCAAATGTGGCCAAGAAATGGTGTCATGAAAAGAGTTTAATTTGCAGGACTTGTTTATGGTTCAAAATTTGTCTGTGTGAGATTTAGCTCTTGTGCAACTTGCCATTATGTTTATCACGAGTACAAGAATTTTATGAGTCCAAACCCCATGAGGTGGAAGCAGGACTAAGCAATAAATCTGAGCTGCAATCAATTGCTGTGAGACATTTACTGAAGCTTGTTGACCCCTGTAGGGTTGTCTTTATACGTCTTAATGAGACACCTTTAGGTCTGTCAATTCCCAATATACATGTTACACAATGACCAATATTTATAAATTACTTAAAAAGGTATAATTAATCCATACGGAAGCAGGATAAATGCGTAGATGAAGTGATCAGTGGCTTTCCAATACCTGTGATGAGAAGGCATGCCAACCAAATAAAAAAGATTGTAACTGAGAGATGAAGTTAAGTAGCCAAAGTTGAGTCTATCATTCACACACTACAAGCATTAACTTCATACAAATGCCCATTTAAATAGATGATGTTTATTTCCAAGAATAACAGCCAGTAAATTAAAAACTAGTGGGCCTTACCAAGTCAGGCAACTTATCTTAAGCCAAATGCTCTCACAAAACACTTAGGCTGTCCACCTCAGCCAGCATAATTTGTTTTAATGACAATGTTATTCATTTTTATTTCAAAACAACTCAATAAATATACTTCATATGTTGATGTAATATACGATAATGGCATTGTCATACCATTATTGTATATTATTCAAATGTGAAACTCAGTATAATAGGTTATGCTGTTCTAGCAAAAAAAAAAAAATATTGTAGGAACAGTAAAATTTTCCATTTCATTTTCTGTAATGGTGTATCAAAGCATTCATGGTTATAGTCACCTGTTTTGACAACCATCAAAGAGAGAACTGTAGGATCGCCGCTGGTTGAAAAAGATGCCTAAGTAGTAATAATAATAACTGGAAAAGTACTTAGGGGGGAGACCAGATCACCGCCAAGCAGCAATTTTTGTTCCCCAAATTGTGACTTACGCCTATATCTAAAACTCACACATAATCTGGATTATTACCAATTCTTAATGAATTGATGTTTGGCATGAGGCATGACTCTGGTAACAAATTTAACTTTTCAATTGATTCTGCTTACAAACCACTAATGTTCCCTTTTCTTGTGTTTTTGTCTGAAGTAAAACACCTCCAGACTTTTTGCGTCTGGTGGTGAGGCTTTCAATAGTCACACCTCTGATTTAGTGAAGAACTGCTTGTTCCGCTAAACATTCTTATCTTACAATGTCAGGGAATCTTTTAAAAGAATTCCTGTATCCAGAATTTGATCTGGACCATCACAAATACGTTTTTTCAAGTTACCGTGCACACAGACAGACAGACAAACACACAAACTCTCCTAAAAAAATAACCTCCTTGGCAGAGGAAAAATACAGAGATAGTGTTCCTCACTAGGCTGCCTATGCATGGCCATTCTGCCTGTACCTGTACCTCTTAAAACCTTAGTTATGAAGTCACCAACGTTTCTGATGTTTAACAGGATCATAATGATAATTTCATGCTTAGTATAGTGAAAGTCTTATTATTATTTTTTATGTCGTAAAGGTCTCACAAAATGCCTTTTCTATACTATGTATGATGAAATACTTCCTTTCACTTAACAAAATATTAATTCAATATGAAATATTTCTTACTTTCTGGTTGTGTTTTTTTCCAAGCCGGTTTCATTGCATTAAAACCACTTGGAAAAGCTATCTGACTAGCTCTACCAACTAGGACAACTAGCACATACTTTATTGTTTTAACAAGCACGTAAGCACGGTGTGATTACGGACCTTACAATGAATCAACCTGAATGGAGAAATAAGAAATGACTTCATTTATAAATGTGGTTTGAGCAGCCAAGTAGAGCAGACTTTTCTTTAGGAATGCTAAAATACACCCAGACTATTAAAAGCTACATTTATATTATTTCTTTGATGCTGAAATAACATTTTAAAAAGTTTTAATGCATTTGCATGATAAAGCCCCCTTTTACAAGACATAAATGGTGATTACTGAAAACTGAAAGAACAAGAAAGAAAGAACAAGAGATAAATTGAACACATAACTAAAAACCTTTCTGTCACAAGAATTGTTCTTGTTATTTTTAGAATGTCTTTAAGCTTACAAAATGAAACTCAAAATGGTAATTTTGTGTTCTTAGAATTAGGTGTAGAACATTAAAACAATCTCTAAACACTTTCTAAATTTTCCTCCAAAGCAGCTTTCCAACAAAAAATGAATTTTTGTAAAAGTGAAACAGTAAGTCCAGATTAGACTTGACTTTGACTTGTTAACATTGAACATCTGTCCTTTCAGTTCATAGGAATAAGACTTCAAACAGCTTGATCAGTGATTATATTGATGATGAAATGTTATTGTAGCATAAAGGCATCTTATCTCAAGGCCTTTTTTATTTTGCACGCATAGCCTTGTGCAGCAAAGCAAGGATAGCTGTGATGTAAACATATGTAACGCAGGAGGAGCATGCTGTGCTCTCTCTCCAATCCAACCAGTCTATCATATTAATGACTCATCTTGTATCCAATGCTGTCACTCAAACGCTGTCTTACTTCAAATTGATTTTACCAGAGGCATAGCCTGCAGATTAGGCTCGTCAACTCCATACTCTATATTTTCTATCCTCTGTTTTGTTATTTTTCTCACCTTTCTGCCATAACATGTGTTACTTTATTAGCATTATCCCAGGTGGCCACTGCCTTCAAAATGAAATTAGATTATTCCTCAGGTTGGATTCATTGCCCTGATTACAAATTCATAGGTAGATGCTGAAGTTAAAGACAACGCTGCATAATTATACCACTAACTTTTCCATCTCTCCATCTCTCTCCTTTCTTCTATCTGAACAGGGTTGTCTAATCTCTCCACTATCTTCTACCTGATACTAAGATCTGCATGACCTGCAGCCTTTATCACACCAAACATGAATCTGTTTAGCATTTGGTTCAGTGTAATCAGTTTAAATTGATTTTCCCACATTTTGTAAATTAAAAGCTTTGGCTTTATGGCAAGCTTTGAAGTCTCTTTGATGTCATGTGTCGTCAATAGGGGTGTAAATGTACATCTAATTCTAAAGTGGTCTTGGCCACTAATGCATAGATGGACCTGTACATTTTAGATAATTACAGTACCAAGTATTTTTTGCCAGTTATTTAAGAAAGTAAAATTGTGTTGTATATCTATGTACAATTAATCTTTATTCATTATGCATAAAAATAAATAAGTTAGGCTTTTATTTCTTTTGGAGGAAAAAATTGTCTTAGAAAATCACAATATTACATTAGAGTATTGGAAAAATATTTGAAGCACATATGTCGGGTTTCGGAAAAGGATGCAAATGGCTTTGTACTCAATACTTGCTTGGGTCTCCTTCTGCAGCAATTGTTTGATTAAAGCACTTTAGTTAGAAACAGGAACTGCCTGTGATGCTTTGTGGGTTTAATAGAAGCCCTGGTTGCTTTGATTGATGATTTCAGATCATCTGCATTTTTGGGTTGGGTTTCTCTCATCTTTGTCTTGACAACAGCCAATAGCCTTTCAATGGGGGTTCAAGTCAGGGGAGTTTGCCTGCCAACCAAGACCGGCAATCCCACTATCTCTGAACCTGGCAGTGTGGGAAGGTGCCATGAATTGCTGGGGAAAAAAATCAGCTTTTCCTTTCAGCTTGTCAGTGAACATGGGAAGCATGGGGTGCTTTAAAATTCCCTGGTAGGTGGCAGCCCTAACTTTGGACTTCAGAAAATGCAGTGGACAGACACTACTGTAGCAGATTACAGTCGCACTCCCTTTGAAGTGGTTATAAAATACCTGTTTTGGTCCTTTTCCTTTCGATACAGACCCCTGTGTAAAACCTTTTTCCCCAGTAACAACCTTTCATGGTTTACCCTCCTTATGAAAGGTGTCGATAATTGTCTTCTGGACATCTGTCAAGTCAGAAGTCTAATACATACTAGTGTTACCTACTGATCCAGAGGCAGAAGCCATGTTAACTTTTGTAGGTGTTTTGAGTTAATTAGATGATTAAGTTGTGATACAATGAATTTCCATTTATGGGCTGTGTCCGAACATCCTTCCTAACCCCTAAAACCCTCAATCACTATAAAGAGCGGGGGCTATATAGTGGACTTTATAGTGAATTCAGTTTACTAACTGTTCGGACAGATGGTCACTATTTTTTGCACTCCGTTTGTCACGTAACTCTTCCTCCCCACACGTCGACTCTGAAATCTTTGCTACAATAAATCCCATGATGCTTTGCGAGGAGAGCTCTCCCAAAGAATTCCAGGATATATCTGCTTGTCTAGTGACCATGGATGATCACTACTTTTGAAGGTGCATTGTGGGATTTTTCAAGTCCACTACTTTTTTATCCACTAGATGTCCGAAACTCATCTAAAATGGTGTAATCACTATATAGTGCCCTATATAATGATTAGAGCATGTTCGGAAACAGCCATGGAAGTTTTAAAAATATTCTAGTGTCTGAAGACACCACATTTTGGGTTTTCATTATTTGTAATGATATAATAACGAACATTACCAAAAAAAGTGTTTTAATATATCAAAACATGCAATGACACTATATAAATACAGGTTTTACTAAGAGATGACTGGCAATACATATTGCTCTTTTATGTAAATTTTACTTCCAGATGTCACTTATCCAGCATCCAACTATAATTGTTTTCTTGTAGGTGGTTCGACCCCTTTGTCATTCAATGGCTTGATGAGAATGAAGTTGTTGCTATGGACTTTCTCTCTGGAGCACTTGAAAGGGACAAGAAAGATGGAGTAAGTACATCACTGAATTATTTCTTACTTAACTTTAACTTTTATTTTTATCAAGCTGTCCAGGACATTTATATCTACTTTAATAATGACGAGGGGGAAAAAAAAGAAATTACATTTTGATGTAGAGGAGGATATGGTGGGATAAAGAAAATTTAGTACAGTCAAAACACCTCTCGCCTTGAGACATGACAAGAGAGGAATAAAAATAAAATATATATATTAAAAATTTATAGCAAAGAGGAAGCAAGATTCTTTTTTCAGGGAAGTAAGGGCTCCAGAGGATGTTGGAAAAAAGTGACAGGAAACAGTCTTTTGGAACTTGTGTGATAAGTTGATGCATCAACACTGATATCCCTTATCTGTCTGATGTTTAAACAACAAAAAGCTTTTATAACTGTTCCTTACAAGATTTTTTCTCCATCCATAATTTTATATCAATTGCTAAGGTAACATTTCTGAAGGTTCTCAGTTAAAATAATGAATGCAGTTTAAATAAAGACAACCATATCTGAACTTCACAGAGGTTTTGGGAAAGTGGTGGGCTCCTACAGTTCCTAAGTGTTGGAATTTTGGATTTTTTTATGTTTGTCTGATATAATAAACCTTTTTTTTTTATTGTATATTTAGCAGAACCTGGTGACAGGCTGAGGAGATTGTCTTGCCATTTAAAATTATATAATATTTAAATCAGGTTTGTCAGAACGGAAACCTGATACATGTAGATTTGATAGATTTCCATTAGCTGTGAGAGTTTCAAGACCTCAAACATTTTCAGATTCAGCATCATCCATCATAATGGATGAAAGTGAATTATTTAAAATGATAGAACAGAGCGACTTTGCCATTATAGTTTCAGATTCCTGTTTTCTTCTTATCTCCAGTGTCAAATAAATGTGCCTCTGTATATAACTCAATTTTCTCTTTTTACATTTTTTACATCTCTGTGCCACCCTAACAACTTTTTAAGCTCATAATTGATACCGAAAAAGTTGAGTGTTATTTAATAAGCCACAGTTTTTGTTCCTAGAAGAGTTGATGTCAGTACAATAACAGAGTGCCTCTTTGCCGTGGATTGAAAATTTGAAATTATTTCAGATATTCAGTGTTAGATCAGCTGAAAACCAGTCACAGAGGGGAATTTCTAAACTGCCACTGGCAGCTTTTCTATCCAGTTTTCTTTGTACACCAATCCATTAGGACCAGATTTGCCTGTATTTTTATGCTAGGGATTGTAATATGTGATGTCTCTATTGTTTTTCTGACTGATTGATTTATTATGTGCACTGCCTACTTTAATATATGAATTTATACACTGTATCTTCACAATTTCTCAGTCGCATCATTTGTCAAAATCAGCTTTTTTCCTTTCTTTATTGTCAGACTAATTTGCCTTCTTGTCCCCTTTTTTTCTTAACTTGTGTCTATTTATCTAACCCTTTTCTTTAGTTTCAGCAAACCTCGGAGCACGCACTCTTTTCCTGCTCGGTGGTGGACGTGTTCACTCAACTAAACCAGAGTTTTGAGATTATTAAGAAGCTGGAATGTCCGAACCCACAGGCTCTGGCTCATTTCATGTGCCGTTTTGCGAAGGTCAGTCTCTTTCTTCATGCTGCGTCTGAACATTTATTGCTGTTATGGCCAATAATAGCTTAGAGTTAAAGAGTTTGTCACGATCTAGGTGAATTTTACTTGTTTTTTTGTGTTTAATATCAGCAAAGTAACTGAGGGTAATTGTTAACTCTTCTCTATCCCTGCAGACTATCAACAAGGTTCTTTTGCAATATGCTGCAATCATTTCCAAGGAGTTTCCTTTACATTTAAATAAGGAGAATGTGGTAAGTACTCACACAATCTCTGCAGTTGTTAACAGCAAACTTAGACTGATATAATTTCTCGATACCAAATATAAACATGGCAACACAAAAATAAAACTGTATTTCTATGATAAGTCTCCAGTAATGGTTGGCATGGAGACCATGAAAGTTTTTTAAGAACATTTTTTTTGTGCAGAGCTTGACAGTATATTTTATAATATCCTTGTCTCTATTAACATGATTAAATTATGTACAGTATTTCTCACCCATAGTCTATGAGGACAAGTCATTTTTTTCTCAGTCTATTGTTTAAAGTGATGGATGGCTAAACACAAAGCTTTTTGAATGGCCTAATTATTCACATTGGATTTTAAAGCCGAAATGAAAGATAACAGGCAGTTTGGGAGCAGATGTTTCTTTACTGTGTGACGATCTCATTACTACTGTCCCAGAGAGAAAGTAAGGCATGCCTTCCCTTGACAGGACTACAGTGACAAATGATGGAAAAAAGGAACTGTGATGTGCACCGACTGTGGTGACTGAATCCAATTACCCCTGCTGTAAGGCCATGAAAAAGCATTTAGTATCCCTGAAACTTTTTTCCACGTTTGTCTGGTTTATAATCATAAACCTGGTGCATTTTACTTAGACTCAATGGGAATGTCAAACTCAGAGTTGCATCTTACTTTAAAGCAGAAGGATAAGGACACAGGCCTTTAGAAAATGAGTGCATTTTTAAAAGGGAGGCTGCACAAATATCCAACAACATTTAATAGCATACCCGTGTGTAGTGTTGCGCTGATGCCATTTTTTGGCCCCTGATTACCAATACCCGATATCTGGCTGTGCATTATTGGCCGATACTGTTTGAAGTTGATGTGTGTGTGTTTACATGAAGAACTACATACTACTTGGATGTAAAATAATTGCCATCATGCCTTTGTCAAGCCGGTGCATACCTTTGTGAAGCAGGAAAAAGACTAATACAAAGTGAATCCAGTAGAACTTTTTATTGCCTACCTGGAATGGGTGAGAATAGTTAAATAAACTTTTGGCTCTCAAAATGGTATCAGTGCCCTATTTGTTGGTACTCGCTGATACCGATACCATTTTAGTGCTGGATCGGGGCCTCGCCAGATACTGGTATCGGTGCAACACTACCTGTAAATAAAGACCAGTTCTTGGGAATTTTTTCAAAGGGTGAGCAAACATTTACCCGTTCAGCTAATTGTAATTGAATTTCACACCCCAACTACATTGGGTTCCAAAAAATCCCTGTAAGACATATTAAAACTTTTGGCTGTGACAATTTTAAAAACATTATGAATGCTTTTGCAAGGGGTTGTAAGGTCTCAAGTTGATTATAATATATCGTCTGCAAAAGGTGGTCAAGATTGATTACTAGTTCTTATTTACTGCCAGGAAGGATCAAGTCTCAACAGGAAAGATGAGCCTGTTTGACTTAACGTGAACTGGCACTTGAATCTGTTCTCCGCTTTCCCACTTATCTTCTGGATAGGCTCACATGTATCCGTTGATACATTGAAGAAATGACTGCTCCTAGTACACTATCAGCTTTCTAACTTAATCAATCAACCTTCACTACAGCTCCCTAAAATTACTTCCCACTATTCACTTATTCAGTTAAATAAATAAAAAAAGACTAAAAGTGTATCTTTGTCAACGACTAAAAAAAAATCAAATATAGAAATATAAATTTTTTTTCTAGCCTTTTAATGTCTTTACACTGTCACAATTACAGAGCAACGAAATTAACTAATGTCAACCATCTCCTTTGGGAGCAGCGGGCTGCCATTGTACGGCGCCCGGGGAGTTGTTCAGTTTTAGATCATTAAAAATTTGCCAAATCTTGTTCAAAGTGTTTCACAGATATATGATGGGTCACACTTATAAACACATAGATCTAATAGAAAGCAATCCATTCTGAATTGCAGGTAGACACCCTGTTGATTGTTTTGGGTTTTGAAATATACCAATGATCCATTACCTCTTGGGCCAAGAATTATAGTATTTTTTGAATCCATCACTTAAGTGTTAATTAAGGCAAGTTGTATTTCCTTCTAATTTTTTTATTTATTTATTTAGTTTCATTTTTTTAGCAGACAGAACAAAATATATGAGTTCTTTAGAGTCTCTGGATTTATTCTGGGTGTCGGTGGAAAGCGATGTGATTAATGCCTGTCACCTGTTAAACGTGTTGTGGAACAGAGAATCGATAACGTCTGACACATTCAGTGCAGACATTTCTCTCCTTGTTGTGTTATGTATTGCATTTCCCTGCTGACTTTTTGAGTGCAGACCTTGCTTCATTGTGTAGATGATATGTTACGTTATGAAAGCTGATGGATTGAACAGTTGTTACTATTGTAATTTTTCTTTTGATGCTTTTTTTTACTGTGTTTCCATTTATATCGGCCAATCATGGCTCCCTTAAGATATATCAATGCAGTTCCAACAGCAGCTCTTTTGCTCTTTTGCAGCCCTGCATTATCCTCAACAACATCCAGCAACTTCGAGTCCAGCTAGAGAAAATGTTCGAGTCCATGGGTGGAAAACAGGTCTGTGCATATATTTGTTGAGTTTGTGAATGTTTTCTGATTCTTATTTTAAAACTATGCCATGTTAGACCATATCATTAGCTCCAGTGTAGATGTTCAGGGTTGATGGGATGTCTTGAGAAGAGGAAGCATTTTACTTAGACTTAGACAAACTTTATTGTGATTTCGTACACACAGAGTGTATACAAAAATACATTTTGTTTTGTACAGCTTTTATGACATGTCCATTTCTTCAAATGCAGTACTGATCAAATGTAAACATTGTGAAAAAAAATTAAACAACCAAGAACATAATTATGTGATAAGTTCCTTTTTGATTCTCATCTGTCTTTAAAATTGATTTAGGCCATCCTTGATGTCCTGATGTTGATCTGCCAGTTTTACGCTCAGCTATACCTTCTAGCCAGTTTTCATCTATCTCTTAATTTCAGAAATGTCCCAACTACACTACCTTGGATATTTTACAAACAAACAGTTTTGAAGCAATATTTTCCAATGAAAAAGGTGTATATATTCCTCACCACCACATGCCAGAAAGGCTGACTTCCCCCACTACTAGCCCCCTGTTTGAATTGTATACCCACCTACCCTCTTAATAAGTGTTTTGCTAAATCTTAAATTCTGTGTTGAATTCGGGTTACTGTTTTTGCCCTCCCTAACAACTGTTGAGTGTTACAAGACCAGATTTCCCTATTTTTGACATAATTCCTGGACATCCACTTTTTTTACATACATGGACATCCATTGTTTTACAGTAGACAACCTAAATGATGAGCAAACTTACTTTATCCCATATTTATTCTCCATATTGATTGCTACTAGCAATGCTATTTTTGACCCCAGGTAGCACTTTAACAGATTCCAGATCGGATTTGGCAGCAAATATATCAAATCTCTGTTTCCTGTACAGTACACAAGTCTTGCCATTAAACTTGCAATTTATTGTTATTAAGTCATGTAAAAAAAAAAAAACAGATCTGGATAAAATTGTAAAAACACAAGTCTTTGCAGCTACAGTAAATAATGGCAAAAAGTATGCACATTTAACTTTTTAGCAATGACTATATAGTCATTTAAGCCTATGCTCTAAGGAGTATGTGTTTGGTCATAGTACTGGAGATGAGTTGAATTGGCATAAAACAGACAAATTAAAGCACTATTTTTATTAAAAAAAATGTTACAAGTAAATGCAGCTCTGTCCCCACTTATTTTTTCTTTTTAATAAAAAGTTAATATTCTGTTTTGTTAGTGAACAAAGACTTACATAATGTACTTAGGTAAAGGACTCATAATCTAGAATGTTACATTCAAAATTATTTTGAAATTTTATTAAAATTCATGTTTTTTGGGGGAGAAAACATGGAAGTATAGCTTGTTTAGCCACCATTTTATACTTTTTTCACAAAGGTTAACATAAGAATTTAAATATGTGTGGATGCATCTATGAGGATGTGGCGTTCGCATCATTATCAGTTAGCCATGGTTTGTTTACCATCGGTTCCTGGTCTCTTAAACAATGTGTAAAAAGTTACACAAGCAGAAACACTTACAAACAGCCTGTAGATGAGTCCCTGATTGTTGGAATAGTCTCTTTCAGTGGAACAGAGAAAGGCATGATAAAAGCAAAGTGCATAAATGTTAGCGCAAGAAGGAAACCAAGATTTTCTGGTTTGGAAAATGAGGCCACATAAAAAAAAACAACTCACTTTGACACTAATTATCTAATAGATTTAACTGAAGCCGAATACCAACACACAGGTAGCACAACTTTTTGACATCTGACTTTTCGTTAACTTGTAAAAGTCAGATTTCCTTGTGACTCCTCCTTTACACAGCACAACACATGGTACTTTACGCTAATCATTCCTTTTCATCCCCAGGACTGTAGTATTTTAGCCCTTATCTAAAGACATACGTATTACACTAAATGTATGGTAAATGGAGAGTAGACTGGCTATAAGGAACAGGCAGACAACTCCCACACAGAGTGAGAACAATAATTGTATCCCGAAATTATATCCTGAAATTTATGGCTGATAGTTGGTTTAAGGAAGAGGCAAGATATAATCAAACTTTGTTACCAGTATGTAAGAGGAAGCAGAGGTGGTGGATGGATATATGTTGGTTTTCACCTGGGCAAAATACTAAACTGTACATGCAACCTTCTACAAAAAGAAACAGAACCGTTTTTTTTTTTTCTTCAGGAGGTGGAATTATGTAGGATATGGACAAAAAAATCTGTGCTGTTGATATAGTAAAGCCCAAAAAGTGAATTAAAAAGGTTGACAAAGTTTGGGGATCTTTCATAGCTTCTATATAATATTGCATGTGTAATAAATAGAGAACGTAATGAACAAACTGGAACCTATTCTTTAGCAAACTGTAATTAAACAATGATTACTCCATTCAGAGCCTTTCTCAGATCTGCAGGAACACAGGCAAAAGAGGAGATTCTTCCTACCCACGGCAGTCACCATATATAATGGTTCAAACTTTGATTTGGCTTTACTACAACCTTTAATCCTCTTTGCAATAATTAAGAATTTATGACATGAATTGACCAATACTACTGTGTGTTGTGCTTATGGTGTGCTTAAAGTTAAGTTTTAAGCAGAGTTAGAAAAAAATATACTTTGGGAAATCTAAAAAAATATTTTAAATCTTTGTATGTTTGTTCTTTTCTAAGCAAAAATAGATAAATGTACGAGAAGAGCTCCACTTTGTAAAATATCCATGTTAGTGTAGACCAGGTCTGAGGATCACCATAACAACTACTTTCCCACTACTAACCCCCTGTTTGAATCGTATACCCACCTACCCTCTTAATAAGTGTCGTGCTAAATCTTAATTCTGTGTTGAATCCGGGTGACTGTTTTTGCCCTTCCTAATAACTGTTGAGTGTTTCAGTCTTACCTAAGAAGCAACCCCACAATCTCTTACAACTTCAGTGCATGTGTCTCAGTAGTTTCTAACACCTGTCTTGCCTTGCATTTTGTCTCCTGTCGTTGTGTCCTCTGTTTCCTTTCGTTTCCTTTCTGTGCTCTCTCTCTGTCTCCAGGAGGAGGGGGTTGTCTCCTTCTGTAAGGTGTGTGCAATAGGGCTCATCAACAACCCTTATTTCCATTTACCAATTATTACAACTCAGCACTCCACCCAACAATCGCCACCCCTCACACTCCTATCCCTGTCATACCCCACTAGTAAGCATGTGCCGCAGAGCATATGGACTTGAATTACCCATCACCCTTTGGACAGGCTGCTTAAGCGCTCCATCCCCTGCTCTCTGGAGATACCAGCTCAAATCATTGGATCATTATTTTAGGCTTTAAGTTTTTCCCCATGTGACGCTGTGCAATTGTGTTTATTTTTGGATGTTTTTTCCCGCTCTACATAAACAGGAAGGTAGTAGGCTGACCAAGTCGATGGCTGTGGTTTTTGTCCTTTCCTTTCATTTTCCAGGCGCATATTTTTTAGACAGGGTTTTAGGAGTTCTTTTATTAATGAACTCCTAAAACACATGCACACTTCTCTAGCTGTGCCCTTTGTATCTGTATCTATCTCGTAGTATCTAGATTTAACCCTTGAGGGTTCTTATTAAATCACATTCGAAAACATATTGACAATGGGCTTTTAATAGATTAATACTTTTTGAAATAAACAAATTTCTCAAAATCTTTTAAAGAACTTCAATTTCTCAATAAGTAAGGACACCGCTTATTTAGTCTGGCTTAAAATGTTTTCAGGTCTCACCCCAGGTCAATCATAAGACATCATTTTATAAATTATAAATATTAATTTCCCTTTCTGAAAGTAACATTTTCAACTTACATTTTTATTTAGACCACATATTTAACTCTTGTAACACTGCTTGGAATTTTTTTCTTTTCCGATGCAAGTTTCTCATCTTAGCTTTTATCACAGAATAGCTTTCTATCACTAATCGACTTGCGAATGTAAGAGGGGCAGTGTAATTACCAAGAGCTGTTATCAAAATGCTGCAAATAACAGAGATTTACAATAATCTCATACAATAGATTCATCAGCAACTGATCTCTCTAGATTAGGACCAGACTGTATTTTGGGTGTTGCACTGTTTGCAAATGTGCTTGTGCTCGTTGAAATTGACTTTTTGTAAAACCTTTCTTTATTCGGCTCTCACAGTCGCTTTGAGTCATCTGTGCAGCAGAATAACAACCTGCCAGTGTGTAGATAGTGTACTGTTGAAAGAGGCAAAGTGAAGGGAAGCTGGGGCTGCAGCTGATAGGCTGACAGCCAGGGAAGTATTTATATACTCCAGAGAACCCTTCATGCCAGTCAGTGTCGATTGAAACCAGCCACCATGGAGAATCCAGGTGTTCTATGCATTCCAAGCCTGATGTTTCCCTTGTATAATTTATAATGAGTTGTTCTTTAATTCATTAAGCACGGTTAGTATTTATGTAACTTGACAGAAGAGGTCATGTTTAGGCAATTCAATATTTGATGTATTAAATTTCCAGTTTCTGGACGTGGCTCTAACATTAAAATATACCTATACATGCGTTTTCATTGCTGCATAAACAGATATTGGACTAAGAAAGGTGGAAAAAAAAAACTTTTGGTAATAAAACTTTAAAAAACTGTTTGATTTTAATTTGAAAGGCAAAAATAGAATCTTATTGGATTAGATTAATTTTAAAGTAATGTTAGTCAACACAATTCTTTAAAACAGTGGTTCCCAAAGATTTTCCTCTGGGCCCCCCTTTGGATTACACAAAAAATTCCACGCCCCCCCATTGGGAACCACTGCTTTAAAAACTGGCTGGTCTGTTACACAGTCATGGAAAAAAAAAATTATATGCTGAAGGACAACCGGTTGTGTTCTTTTCTTATATATTTGCTAATGGTATTTAACAATGCTGGAGACATGTCTGTAATTAGGGAAAAAAAAAAAAGTTTTCGGTATGCATAATCTACCCGGAATACACTTGTGCATCAGCCAAAGCTTTAGGAAGATATATGTAAATCCACCAAGGGCTGACTCACAGTTAATAGTTGAGGAAGTCCTTGGATAATCATTTTGTGACGTTGTTGAGGTCTGTGGAAGGATAAAGGTAAAAAAAAAAAACCTTATTAGTCACTGCAAATATAAATTATAATGACATTGGACATTGACCTTAGAGCCCAAGAGGCAGCATTCTCGGAGTGTCTTACTCAGGGACTCAGAGTGGCAGGCTGTGGAGTTTAAACAGTGTACTCACAGCCTTCTCAGAATACAAGCACTCTACTATTACCACTAGTCCACCATGCTGTACTTGAAAGACTTCCCTAAAAAGTCTGACAATTGAAAGTGACGAGAGGAACAAACTTTCACTAGACTGATGTGAGTTGTGTAGTGGACCTTAAGAAGTATCTCACTGAAACTGTTTTAACTAAAGTGTTTCCACTAGCTATTATGGATCAGGATGTACATTTTTAAATATGTTATCTAATATTTGAAGAAGTTACTCAATATGAACTCATATTTTTCAATTTGAGAGTCAGTAAGGTTTCTTTTCTGTCATTAATTTTCCTCCGTAAAGGTTCCAGCATTGATAGAGCTATGTTGGTATAGGTTGGTTACCACCAGAGAGGTATATCAACATTTTAAAAAGTTAAGATTTAAATGTTGTTATTTTCTATTTACCTTTTTTTTTCCAATTTTTACGCCAATTTATTGAAAGGCCAAAGACAATTCTGTGATTTTTTTTTCTGGCTATGTGGACTTTAGGATTGCAGTGCTAGTTCTCCCCAGCCATTCTTTCATAGATTGCTCTCTGATGAGATAGAAATCCAGAATCATATTATATCATGATAGACTAGACCCTTAATGTTTTTTTTTTATTATTTTCACTATCAGTTGAAAAGATGTTATCCCTTACACAGCTAGTGAAATGTCAGCCGAATCATAATGGGCAAAGTTCTTTGACTGATATGTCTTATTCCCTGTGCAGATAAAAGCATGCCAACAGAAAAGCTATGTAGAGGAAAAGTTACATCTACCATGTCTGTTATCCAGCTGAGCCGTCTGCAATTAGTGTGTGAGATCACTGACAGGACTTCATGGCAGAGTTTATTGGGTCCAATGTGTTGCTCTTTCATACATGTGGGGCCATGTCTTACTGAATACAGTCTTTTCACTTATTTAATACAATGTTTAGGCATTGCCAAATTAATGCAAACATGAACGCTTGTGAGGCATTATCACATGCATATGCTCAAATGTTAATCAGCCACTTTATGAGTACATCTTGCTAGTTCTGTATTGGTATCTTGGTTGTGTTGGTACTGCCTTAATTCTTTTTGCAGTACATTTAGAATAAGTCAGTCATGTTCTTCATAAATGTTAGTCAGCATTGAAATAATAGAATCCCTGCATGGGCTGTAGATTTGATGTTTAACACTAAAGATTCTATTTACTATACCACCAGATCTAACGCTGTCAATGACTGAATAGTGGTTAATCACAGGAAATGTTTGGGATTAACTCCACTGCTTTAAACATTATTCAGTAATTGATTATATCCCTTTTTAAGGTACTTTTTATGAATAAAAGTCCAATAAAACATGAAATAAAGTACTATTACTATTCCCCAAGTGTTTTTTCTTATCAGATTTGAAAAATACATGAAGATATTAACATCAAATATATATGTATCCCTAGATATCTGCCATTGGCATTTTTCTTTTTAAGAAAAAGAAAAAAGTCATCTTTATTATGTTATTTTTTCCTAGTCTATGTTTGTCTTAAGGTGACAGTTTTTTGATGTGCACAAAGGTGCTACTTGACTTAACATTTATTAAATGGTTTTCCTTATTGTATGAGAAGACTTTGCTGACAGAAGAAAGCTCACCGTATTCAGTTTTTCATATAATGAGAGCATAGTCCGTATGTAAGACTGACTACGCTCTGTGTTTGCTCTGCTATCCATTAAAAATAGGCTTGGAATCTCGGGAGCGCCATGAAGTCAATCGGTCAATAACTGCATGATCTAGAATTGCTTTGATTTGAGGCAGAGCTAAACACGCTGATAACAGAGTCCGCATGAATGAGGGATTAGTATGTGTAGCTCACGTCTCTCTGCTGACCTGCCTACTGCCTTCTGTCAGAGGAGAGGAGAGCTCAGGGTTGCTATCAGCGCTCCTTATCACCAAAAAAGCTCTGTTTTAATAGGTGATAAAATTGATGCTTTTACTCAAACAATTTTGATGACAAGACAATTTAGCATTGACATGGCTACCAATAACTTTGTTTGCCAAAGCCATTGTCACAAAGATTTTTAAAATCCAAATGTGCATGTAAAAGTTCAGTAGTTTTCTCAATTTTTTTTGTCTTGGCTTTATGATGGAGTTAGGCACAAAAGCTGTCATTGGTTGAGATGAAAAAATTATGCCTATCCAAAGCCAAAGCTTGACTACCTGTGGCACAGTCGTTTGGTAGTGTGTCTGTGTCTAATTAAGAAGCACTAAAGCATTAATAAAACAATGGCTAAGCAAATGCTTTATTATAATAATAACACATAATATTAATAATAACACATTTACCTGTCCCTAGGTTGAGATCTAGTGTTCTTGGATATTACTGAGGAATGACTTTGTTATCTGGATATTGCAGCTGAATCATTGGACCTGCACTGCACTACCTACTTCTAGGTTTACAGTGTTGAGTATTTAGAGATAGCACTCTGCTCACCTTAGTAGTTTTCTGTTATCTCAAACCTGGCTACCAAAGCTACTCTATTATCAACAAGAAATAGCTTTGCATGAAATTGTAGTACATCAGCATTGGCCCTATCCACACAAACCTGGGTTTGGGAGTATCCCTTTTAGTGTGATGGGTTGACACAAAGTGGTAGTAAAAGAGACTAAAGTTGAACCTGGCTACCAGATAGGGAGAAATTGAAGCCATGACCACTAAAACAACCACAAACTGGCAGGTTTGTGCATTTGCCTCCTCTGTCCCTTTACACGCTTGTGCCAACCCACCAGCATTGCTGATGGCTGACTTTAGTGTTGTGACTGTGAAGCTACTTACAGAGCATATTCGTTTATTGTGGATTTTACACCAACATGTTTTGCCAATTTGCAGTTTTTGAGTGGCGTACCTTGCTGTTTGTACACACAAATGCAGTTTTCTTACTCCGAGGTCACTGTTGTCACAATCTTCCTGTTCTTACACTTTCAAGGACATACTGAATGTGAAATTCTTAATCTCTAATCATTATTACCATATCACTCACAAGTGTATCATAGGTATTGCACCTATTACACCCCTTGTGGTTCCATGTGATTTCATCTTTAGGGTCAAACTTTTCAGGGCTGATACCATCTATGTGTGAACAATGTCTAAGTTAATCGGACTAACTGATGTGGCACCAAAACCACACGACAGTCAAATTCACTCGTATTTTCATTCTTCCCCATTCTGATGCTTGCTTTGAATTTCATCTTTGACATTTGCAAAGGTCTCAATGCTTTTAGTCGCTGACTTGATTGACAAAATTGCTTTACATGCAAGTAACCCAACTGATTTCCCTAATGAATTGGACATGCCGATGCATGGGCATGCTAATAATTTGTCAGTTTTGGTTACTGTTTACTAAGAACTTATCTTTTAAAGAATACTGGAAGTCAAGTTTTGATCTAGTCTAAGAAAGAAAATTAATTTTCATTACCGCATGTTGCAATTCATTACACCTTAATAAAAATAATTTTTTGTTTTCTCTGTGTTTCTTTTGTATAGGTAGTTGTAACTTATGTTGTAGTCTACTGGAATGTCCCTGTAGCTAGATGCCTCATTGCTGACACCATGTTTTATGACTTGGCAAGCGGTCATAATTGCTCTTAGCTGAGCTCCCCATTGGTATTCATAGTACAGATGAAAGGCAGAAAGAGTAAGAAGTCAGCAGCAAGGCTCTCTTCGTTCCCTTTCCCTCAAGCCTCACCAGAATAGTGACATTCTCTAGAGACACGGTGGTCTAGTAAGTGTGGGTTACTATATGGAGCGGATAGATGTGGTGACAGTCTGTCTCTCTCTTCACTGACAGCTGGATGCAGAGGCCAGTGATCTGCTGAAAGAGCTGCAAAATAAACTCAACGCAGTGCTGGATGAGCTCAGCGGGGTGTTTGGCTCCAGGTGGGTATCGGTGTAACTTGAACTCATGTGCAGTATGTCAGTCTGAAACAAATCTTTATGGTTGATTGGTGTGTCCATAATGTCCGTTGAAGTGAAAATATGCCATAAGGATGCTTAGTCATTGTCAGTTTCAAAATTTAATTGGCTCTAGTTCATGCTTTGTGAACACAGCAAGTCACATAACATTTCAGCTTGAAGAAATGACACTTTTTTTCTGAAAAGCCCTTCCATTGAGCTAATGGGGACTGTGGGATTCTGATAGCACCAATAAAAGATGGTTTACATTGACTGTTTTAATAGTTTTGCACGTCCAAAAAGGCATTATAAACTCTTGTGTTCACAGTTTTAAACCTGTAATTGAGGACTGTGTGAAGCAGATGAACCAGGAGCTGGTCCAGATGAAAGGGCCAGTCAAAGGGAGCAATCCTGCCATTGATGCAGAAACTGTTTTACGGCCCCTTATGGATCTTCTGGATAAGAAGTGAGTACCTGATTAGGGTCAGGATAATAAAAACAACTGTTGTTTTATCTCATTACAGCCTCTCTGGCAAATTAATTGAAGATGATTTAAGGACTAATTGACATTACAAATTTTTATGTTTCACAGTTAAAAATATTTTTACACTGCAAAAGTAGTGAGACAATAGTGGGAGATAATTCATAATTAGTGTACGCAAGGAATGATTTGTATGTTTACAGTTTAGTAGGAAACAATACAGGTTGGGCTATTATTACCTTAAAAATACAAACCTGTCATGTTTACTATTATGACAACCAAATAGTACGTTGAAATAGCCCTGAAATGCAGTATTGACTTGATTAATCCCACAAACTGGTGTTGTAGTATCTGGCACCGAGACAATATGGATCAGACTTTTAGCCCAGGATATCCCTCAAATGCTCAATTTAATTGAGATCTGGGGATCCTGGGAGCAAAATTAGTACCTCAAATTTATTGTCTTGGTACTACCATTCCTGTATGGGTCAATTGCTGTAGTTTAAGAGTCCCCAGTGACATTGTCTGCAACATCACTGATGGCAGACCTAAGGTTGCCCAAAGCATTATAAAGCTTCTGTTGGAATGCCTTCTCTTTCTGCTTTTAACAATCAACATATTGGTTACTTTAAAGCTAAGGTAACATATTACTTTACCATTTTATTTGTCATAAAATTATGTTTGATTGCTTTCATTACTTTTTTGGCAGTTCCCAGATTCTAAAGAAATTAAGCCTTGATTTTTTGAAAGTCTTTCACTTTAAGGTTACATCTACATTAGCGGTTTTCATTATATTCAAAAGTGTAGAAAGAGGTGAGAGGCCCCAGCTGAGCCTGAAGAATGGTTCTCCTCCATTTGGCAAAGCAACATAGAGGCCAATGTGGTATTATAGAAAATCCTCTTAATGATATGGAAATAGAAAATCCTTCCTCCGATTCAGAGAACCCTGCCTGCACAAAGGGGCGAGATTAAAGCACAAAGCCCCTGCTTTTATTCTCAGTCACAGGTGTTTTCAATTTTTATGAATATTCTATATAAAGACATCATAACTTGATGCCTTCAGCTATGTTAGGTTTGTTTAAAAACATGGGCTGCATGTGTTAAACCTAATCCCTCTTTGGTGTCTCCTAGTTTGATGTTATTCGCCAAGATCTGTGAGAAGACTGTGCTAAAGAGAGTTCTCAAAGAACTCTGGAAAATAGTTCTGAACACCATCGAGAGAACAATTGTTCTGCCTCCTCTGAGCGACCAGAGTGTAAGTTGATCAGTTTTTAACTCTTATTTTCATATCATCCTGTACCTTAACCTTTTAGGCAAGCCCCCTCATCGGTTATAATGAAGTACACAGAAAGAGAAAATGGAGCAAAGAATTCTTTAAAAGACATACATATATAATAGAATACATTTTTTGTACTTACTTAAAAAAAATGTCTTCATTTAACTACTTTATTTTGTTTTAATTGCTGAAATATAAGTCAGGTTCTGAATATCCTATCCTCTTCTACTATTTTCAAGCCAGTACTTCTTATTTAACACTTAAGTAATTAACTTTAAATCTTAACTTTTGAAATGCCAAGCTTAAAAAGCAGTATAAATACAAAGATATGTTTTGTATTCTTTGAAAAAAGTGTCTTCTAAAACCTTTCCTGGAGAGCCAAAGTTAGGATTAGCCATTCATAAGCAACAACACTACCGTAGGTCTAAGAAATTCCTCCTGCTAGTCAGTTTGCCTCAAGCACCATACTGTAACTAAACCAGGTAAGATTTAACAAAAAAATCTTTGGTATCTGTTTACTCCAAAACTGCAAAAAAAAGGCAAAGACAAGTCTCGTAAATGGTTTTATAATAGCAGAGTTTTATAATAACAGAGTATGTTTTAAATAAAACATATACACTATGACCAAACCAAATACTGCTTATTTCCAATGCAGAGAGTAACAGCTTATTTTGTATTTTGGAGATGTCAGTTAGGACTTGTTGCCAAAAATATTTCAACAGTGATCAAATTTATCCATGATACAATATTATATGTACAAATAAAAAGCTTGATATTGATGTTAAAAACATTTAATAGCTATGTTCAGTATCATCCCAAATTGCTTTTTTTGCAGTGATAATAATATTATCAGTTATCTAAATCTTTAAGCACATAGAGAGATTTTTTCTATTTTTAATAATCTCACTTTAAGCTTATTCCACATTAAGTTCTTGTTCTTGTTTGACTGCTGGCACTAGATACAGCCAGCAATGGTTTGATGACTTTGTCTTATCTTTGTTCCATATTGGCCCATTGAGTTGAACTACAATAAGTTAGAAACATTAGCGCAGTTATTTATGCTCAGTGTCCCTGTCTTGTGTTTCTTAGTTTGTTACAAAATCAAGCATTATCTTATTCCTTCATGTACTGATAAAAGTACCTTTGTATGTTCAGCAACAAGGAGCTCAGATGATCTTTAGTGCTGCCAAGGACTTGGGACAGCTGTCCAAACTGAAGGTGAGCTATTAATGATTCTGTAACAGATGTTTCCTCGTTTCAAAACTCCCAAGTTTGTGATTCAAAGCTCAAGTTTGAACTCTGATCAAGACCAAACTTTAACTGCTTCTACAAAGACTCTGCCATCATGTCTAGCAGGATTATGTGCCTTGTTGTATTTCAGATATCATGATTTCATGCCTCACTGTGAGTTTTAAACTGGTGTCCTCTTCTTAAAAAAATTCCTCTCAGCTCACTTTACAGGACATTTCACTGCACTTACACATTAAATTTTACATTTTATCAGTTGTTTTATTTTTATTTTGAAGATATTTTACCTACAATAGCCACGTATGTTCTTGGATTGTTAGTCCAAGCTTTAACAAAGTAGGGATGGGGTGGGTGGCGGTGGGGGTGGATAATTGTCTTGTGGTAAACTTTTGGCAGGAAGGGATGAGTCATCCAAAATGAGTTTGTTTTGTTCACTTTTTAAAATGCTGAAAAATTGTGAACGACCCATAAACTTTACTACATCTTTATTGAACTTGTAAAGAGGCACATGCCATTATTTAATGCATTCAGATATAATTTTGAGTGGTCCTAGTTTTGATGTATTTAGTGAATTAGAGAAAAACTGAATTAGACCAGCAGATCACCAGTCAGAGATTTTAAGGGAAATATGCATAGTTTCAGTCTTTTGTTGGTCCTTCTACTAAATGCTATTTGTAATGGTCTATTTTCATGGATGTGACCTGCTTTAATACAAGTGTCCTGACACCTTGAAGCCAATGGTTAAGACTAAAATTGTGTTCTAGCATCTGTTAAAGGGAGTAGTATATTCATTTACTTTACCTCTTTTGTCAAGCATTACTCTATAGTCATAGTTAAACATCTTTTGCAAGATGAGACCCATGATTTATACCCCAAATTTTACCTTTAAAAGCTGTGACTATGATATAATTCTCTAGCATCTACAATCTATCCCAAGGGAAATTTTATAAACTGTAAGGAATTTAAGACATGGCAAAAATGTATCCGAGTATCATACAGTTGCAATGATTGCATCTGTGCTTTAGTTTCTCTCTCCTCCCATTTCTTATAACATTTATCGCATTCTGGTTGTGCCATGTAAGGCTTACCGACACCTGGGAAATAAAGCAGTGCCAGAACTTATTTACTGCAATCCATTTAAAGGTCAGGAAAGCTCCAATTAGAATCGACAAAAACATTTTTCATGATTAAAATAGATTTTTACCACTCTGATGTAAAACAGAAAAGGTAAGGTTTATCACTCAGTGGGGTGAATTATGGTCATTGCATTTAGAGTATGAACCATTTTGAAAATAAGGGTGTGAGAAAGGAATGCAATATTATCCTTGTGCTTTGATTCCCCCGTTCTGGCATCTCCAGGAGCATGTCATTCGAGAGGATACCAGAAGTCTGACGCCTCGCCAGTGTGCCGCCATGGACCTTGTGCTTCCCACTATCAAGGTAAGTTTTCTGCTGATTTCAGCAAAGGTGGCACTGAAAGGCTCAAGTTAACCTTTTAAAAACAAAGCAGATAAAAAATGGCACGCAAATGATTTAATCAGAATTACAGATGAGCAGTTAATGTTTATGCAGAGCCTAGGATCCTGTATGAATACATCCACCTAAAGAATGCAATAAAAGCCTTCACAGTGAAGGATCTCCCCACTGTATAATAAAAATAAAGCAATTGCAACCCTGGGTAAAAAGCAGATTGAAAGCTGAACCTCATTTCTACAGAGCTGAAAAGAAAGCTGTGGTGTATTGGTCTTGCATCATAAAATGCCATGAAAACTAATTGATTTTACCATCACCATAGAAACTACCTACAAGTAGACTCGTCATGTCAGTGGGCTTCATTCTCATCAAATGAGAACTGTGTCTTAACTCAACTAAATCAACATGTGTGGACTTATCACATATATACAATCTTTTCAGGATGGTTAATACATTATATGAAGGTATCCAATGTAAATTTAGAAAGATTTTTTTTTTTTTTTAATGCATATCATCAGCATATTTTGTAAACCCACATTGCATAATAAGGAGACCAACTCAACATATAATATGCAGCACAGTTCTTCAGATTTTGTAAAGCAAGAAAATATGGATATTATTCAATCACCTTTTTATTCACTTACGCTATGTATGTTTTCATGAATGATTTAGTGGCTATACCAATGACAATATTTCATCCAGACAGACCATTGAAATTGTGAAAAAAATGAAGTGGGAGGGATAAAAGATGAATGCACTCATAAAAGTCCTGTTAATTGTTGGTACGGTCAATTTAACAGCTTAGCGATGAAGCTTTCTTTATCCCCATTTTTGAACTGTGAACTAAGATATGTTGTGGAGTTATGCTGAATTCAGCTTTGAACCACATTCCTGCAAACAGTGGACATCCATGGTCATTATTCAGCTTTGAAATGCGCATTGAAAATGTAAGTGTCAGGTTGAGTGGAGGTTTTGGAAGACCCAAATGCAGAGACTGCAGGTGAAGTGTTATTTTGGTGGCAACTGAGGCAAGAATGCAAAAACAACAAATACAGAAAACCTAATTCTAGGAGACATCACGGAAAACACACGTGAGGGAAACGACAAGGAACCAGCAATCAGTGACTGAACAGGAGGTGTATAAATAGGAAATTGAACAAAGACCAGGCTAATCAGAAGATTGGGAGCAATCTTCTGATTAATCGTTACAAAATGATAATCCATTGCAAAATAATACTCCATTAAGAATATGAATAAATTACTTAATCTTTGAATAAATAAAAAACCTTGAAATATAATTAAATAAATAAGATAAAAAATATTTTAACATATTTATTTTTGTTTTATTTCATGGTGATATTTATTTATTTATTGGAATATTAATTGAAAGTTTATCAATAGCAGTATTTATTTATTTAATTAATTTTGAATAAATATGGTACACACTCTGGGTAGTAAGCAGACGCTCATAGTAGTATTTTTCCTCTCTTTCATACTCAAAGGTTTTTATTTCAGAACCCAGATAACCCAGAACCTTCTTGCTGCAAGGCAACAATTCTACAAACTGCCCCACCATGCAGCCATTAAGTTTAACATTTTATAACATACATATTTAGTGTTTGCCGCTAAATGTGACACAAAATGCCCTATAGCTGAAGAAATGCTGTAAAAATGTATCGTGTAGTAGGATTTTTTTTGCAAATACTATATTTCACATTGTACATGTAATAGTTACTTTAAAACTATTAAATGATGAAAGAGGGGTGAAATGTAGACAAGATGCCATTGTGGCAGCATTTATTCTCTTTTTTTATTACACTGTGAAAAACAATAAAATAGCAAGATGCATTTAAGCCCCAAATTATTAATATCTCTGCCAAAGATGTAAAATCAATTTTCTTGAACTTAGAAGTGTACTACTAATAGAAAATTGAACAGATCATAAAATAATGTGAAGGGATTATGAATTCTGAAAAAAACATTTTTATAAAAATTTTATTGTCAAATTATTTAAACGCCTCAATAAAATCCAGGGGAAAAGTCTTGTCAGCTTAACTGTAATGAGACCCCCTGTTAATATTGTCGAATAGCATTTTCTTGACATCACCTTAACATTCAGGTCCCTCCATAGATTCTCTGCTGAAGACTTTGGCTGGCTGGCTGGGTAGCTGGCTGGGTAGCTGGCTGGG